AATCAACATATTAGAATGATTTCTGTAAGATCATGTGACACTGAAGACTGGAGTACTAATAATACAATATTTTACATTATTACTGTTTTTACTGTATATTAGATCAAATAAATTCAGCCTTGGTCAGCTGAATTTTTATTTTTTTAAGAGACTAATTTAAAAACAAAACTTTTTAATGGTAATGTTATATATATATATAAAGTGGATTTAGATATTGGTTCGGTGTGAATCAGTATAGCTGTGTACTCTCACAGGCTGGTGAAGAATCTGAGTCGCAGACAGGAAGGCCGTATCCCTACTGCCAACCTGCAGGGCATCCTGGGAGAAAGCCTCAAGAATCACTCCAACCGGCTTGGAGGTGAGAGTCCATTTGGACATCCGCTGCCTTTTTAGTGTAGTTCCCAGAAAAGATGAGTTTGCTTAAAATCCATACTGCCATATTTTCTGTGCAGACCCAGGGAATCGTAAAGCACGGAAGCTCAGCTCGCCATGAAGGAATGGCCCAGTTCAATATTGGACCTTTAATATTCACGCTTGGTAGCTCAGACTGTATGTGACTACATGGATTTAGACCTATATTCCAGAGTTTTTGCACTGCTCCTCATTGACAGATGCTACCAAAATGCAAAAGACAAAGCATTTCACATCTTACAAGAGATCTCCACCATTTCAGAAAACCCAGAGAGCGCTTTTAAACATCTGTCCTCTGCCTAAACACACTTCAGTCCTCCTGACTAGGTGAAGCCTAGAACATTCTGACTCTGGGATTGTCCCAGTAGACTTTGCAGTTGTTGAATAATGAATCAAGGCCCATCAAAAGGCCTCTTCGTCGCTGTCTTCACGGTTAACCCTCTCCTATGAAAACATCCTGTTCATAAAGGACCGTAATTTTTAAACTGTGTTTGTTTGTGCTGTTATTTATCTTGTACTGTTGTATTTATCCTCAGTCTGAGCTCTTCCCGAGAGCTTCAATGCCAAATCATGCAGTGCCATAATGCCTGTTTCCCCACTTTTTATTTAAAGCAGACTTTGCTCAGTAGTGCACTAGTTACCTCAAAAAAATATTTATAAGCACTTTATTCAGGTCACACACATTTGTGGCCTTTTGTGTTTCTCTACAGCTTTAAACCGGATGAATTTTGCATGCCGTCAATTCTTACCTCTCTTATTTAGTAAAATTCTCTTGTCAGGCACTTTACATGCAGAATCTACTCTGCCAGCTTGAAGACCTGGGGGCCGTCATGTAAATGTTGACTTTGGAGCCACAAATATGAGTTATGAGGGGGTGAGCAGAGCGCATTTGTGTTGAATGTGTGGCACGGCTGCAAAATCAGAGCCGTGTTAATGGAGGTTTCTTATTAAGGGAGATCATACAGCAAACATTAAATATACCCACTGTTTAGAATGCTTAATGAAATATTAATTGCAGACTTATATGAATTTACTACATTAAATCAGGCCCACAGTTGGAGGGCTGACTTTGATATACCAGCGTTTGAAGTGGAAATGAGCTGTGTAGCAGCAGGAGACGTTTTGGAGTGCACATCTCTTATGTTATTAATTTTGTTATCAAGTTGTTCCCTTCCAGCGTGGAGCTCCAGCTACCCACTCAAAATCAAGCCATGTAAAGGACACAACTGCCTGTACTGTGCTGTATTAGCCATATATACTATCAACTTTGCATATTTGCTTATTCGTGTCCAAATGTCTGAGAGCACATTGAAAATCTGGGAATCAGAATTTCATGATCATCAGGGTTTTTTCCATCAATTTCAAGTTCATTTTGTAAATGTAGTTTTGCACTCAGAAGTAATGCTAAACAAAAGCATTTTCACTAATGGTCTCAGACCTTTGGACCTCACTTTATCTAATAGCATTTAATCCTGTTTTTTGTTTTTGTTTTGTTTTTTGGGGGACTGGCTTATAAATTATTTTTGAAGGAATGTATCTGTGTTGACTATTGTATTGTAACAATATTGTATTTAAATTTGTACAGCCTATTGAAATAAATAAATAAGTTTTAAATAAAACTATTTAATAGTAAAATAATTTGTGCCTAAAATATATACGTAGTATTATTATTTAACTACTCTAGTGTTTAAACGTTTGGGGTCGGTAAGATTTTTCAACGTCTGCTGACCAAGCATTTATTTGATCTGAGCATATATTGAATACAGTAAAAACTGTAATACTGTGAAATATTATTTTCTATTTTAATGTATTTTAAAATGTAATTTATTCTTGTGATTGCAAAGCTTCATTTTCAGCACCATTACTTCAGTCTTCAGTGTCAAATGATCCTTCAGAAATCATTCTAATATGCTGATTTACTGCTCAAGACATATTACTTATTAATGTTGAGAACTGCTTAATATTTTTGTGGAAACTGTGTTACATTTTTTAGGATTTTTCAGGACCATTTATTTGAAATAGAAATCTTTGGAACATCAATGTCTGTACTGTATCCTCGTAACGCACTTCTTTCCAAAGAAAAAAAAATCTTACTGACCCCAGATGTTTAAGCGGTAGTGTATATTTTAATTAGTACAAATATATTAATAATGATTTTTAGAATTAGACATTTTAGAGTCAAAGGCACATATACATCATAAACATCAACTGTGTTGTTATCTCCCAGAGACTGGCCTCAAATGATGAAAGGGTCTTTCACGGGTGAGATGTGAGTGATCTGATGCCTCCAGGGTTTATGGGTAAGATCCAGTGATTTTCAGAACTAGGTCACGAGTCTTAAAGAACGCTGTTGAAATCGGTAACACTTTACTTGAAGGGGTGTGCATAAGACTGACATGACACCTTCATAATCATGACATGACACATGTCATGAATATGAAGGAGGTTTTATGCATGTTTATGACAACTGTCATTGAGTGTCATATGCTCAGTTATGTAATTTTTAAGTAACGCACTTCTTTCCAAAGAAAAAAAAATCTTACTGACCCCAGATGTTTAAGCGGTAGTGTATATTTTAATTAGTACAAATATATTAATAATGATTTTTAGAATTAGACATTTTAGAGTCAAAGGCACATATACATCATAAACATCAACTGTGTTGTTATCTCCCAGAGACTGGCCTCAAATGATGAAAGGGTCTTTCACGGGTGAGATGTGAGTGATCTGATGCCTCCAGGGTTTATGGGTAAGATCCAGTGATTTTCAGAACTAGGTCACGAGTCTTAAAGAACGCTGTTGAAATCTTAAGTAGGTTTCTAGTGTCAGATATTTTCAGTCAACCCCCCTCACGTTCCTCCAGTTTTCCCTCTGAAGGCAGTTGCAGCTCAAAGCTTGAGAGGCTACATTTTTTTCTTCTTTCTGTCTGAATGAGAGATTGAGTTCTCAGTCAAGAAACCTTAGCAGGTTCTAACCATGTAGCAAGGCAGTATATTGCTTAATAACATACCAGCTTTCATTAAACCACAGGTGAAAACAGTGTGTCTATGGACTATTAAATGTCCTAATGGGACAGTGAAGGTACTAAACCATGAATGCTGCACAGGGTTTATTGATGGAATCTCATTGGCCAGCCAGGACTTGGGGGCGGGGCATGACTACAATCTGTTACAGATAACGAACAATCTAATTGTATTTATTTCACCTGATTAAACAAGTGCATCTTTTCTCTCCAGATTTGAATACTCCATGTGTGCAGATGAGATTTTAAAATGAGAATCCTAGATCATAGGTCCACATTTTTAAGCAGCACTCCCTTGGTAACACCCATGATGTGCTGTATCCAACGATAATAGTTACCAACCTGTGTGTACACACCGTACTTCCCTTTCTTGGCACATTCTTCTCCCCAACTGACAATGCCTGTGAGGAACCAGGTGTTGTGGTAGCGCATGGCATGAGGTCCTCCGCTGTCCCCCTGACACGCGTCTTTAGGAGAATCTGAGTATCCAGCACAGAACATGAAGTATGTGACTGGGTCACTGCTGCTTTCCTTACACACTGTTCTGTCTACATAAGGCAACTCAACCTTCTGTAGGTTCACTGCACTTCGGCCTTGAAAGCGCAGACGGCCCCAGCCGCTGACAGTAGCCAGAAATCCAGACTGCAGCAGTGAGTTGGAGAAGAGCATGGGTCCCAGGCAGATGGGACGTACAGTTAGGGTAAACTGGATGGGGTTGCGCAGCCGCAACAAGGCAATGTCATGATTGTAGAGGCTTACTTTGGAGTCATAACGGGGATGTGAGATGAAACGGGTGACGTTCAGATTCTGTTCTGTGCCTTCAGTCTTGGAGACATCATGCTCCCCTGTGAAGCATAGTTGTTTAGTTTAGTAACATTATTAATAACTGGTCTTACCATTGTAAAAATTTCAGGAAAAAAATATCTAAAGAATATATTTTTTTTAAAGAAAAGAAAGATACATTTACCTGAGATGCAATGTTGCATATAAGATCATGTTTGTTTTTTAAAGAATTGTTTTATGCTCGCCAAGGCTATATTTATTTGATACAGTAAAACCACTAATATTGTGAAATATTTTTACAATTTAAAATAATTAAGTGAAAATAAGTTCTCTGTTAGAATGTATTTTAAAATGTAATATTCCTGTAATTTTCAGCATCATTACTCCAGTCTTCAGTGTCAC